TATACAATCATTTGATCACTATTAAGATGGAAGAATATGCCGCACCAGAAACCTTGGAAACCTCCAAAGGGCTGTGGCATTAATTTTATGACGTCAGGAGTGCGTTTAGGTTGACCAATTTCGAGCGGAAGTTGGAGAAATCTAAAGATTAAGTCCTAATTGGTTCGCTCCTGGGAAGCCACTGGAAGTCTTTTGGAAGAAACCGTCCTAAATTTCGACCATTGATATTTATCCTCGTTCAAGAGTCAATGTTCGGAATATATACATTACCGAAAAGCCGAGAGACAAAGGCAGCTGGTCTTGTCGTTCAAGTTATGCTGAACGACCTCCGACATGTTTACTCATAGGGTTGCTGAAAACTCTTATGAGTAGTTTATGGATGAAAATATACTGCGACATCTGGAAAATCGTACCAACTGTAACTTGAGGTGACCCACCACCACCACATTTAGTCGAAGAACATCGCAAACCAGGAATTCGGTGGAGATTCAGGTAAGTCCTCCTTGAGGACTATGTTGGCATACAAATGAATGTATTCGACAGATTCCGGCATGTTTAATTCAATACTAGTGGAATTGGGTTCATGGACTATCAGTGATTGATATTCCCTACAAGTACGCCATGATACCGGTGGCTCAGTCGTTCGGCCACATTTGTACTGCGGATTGCGATCGCATTAACCTTGACTGACAAAGACCCGCTGCACATACCTGTGCTTTTGTTTACTAACCTTGGCACAGTTCAAGGTGATGTGGATAAAATTTCATCAAATAACTTCTCGAGTGTTACTGGTCCACTGTGAACCTTCCGCTTTCGATGTTCCTCTTATTCTTCTTGTGCTTCTTGTAAAGCATAGTCGCACCAAAAACCTAAGAACAAGGGACGCGCGACGGTCGAATGGGTACATGCTCCGTTTAAATTGAACGAAAAGATTTCTAAATGGATATTCATGTTCCGACCATAGTTTGCCTACATCAATATACCAGTATTCATGTGTAAACATTGATTGAGATTCACTCAAACGTTTACCTCTACTCTATCGAACGTTGCCATAGTTTTTCGTCACACTTTCGTCCTGCTGACTCGTTGTTGCGCAAAAATTATTAATTTCCTCGAACAGAGGACGCAAGCAGCGGTAGCCGATGGTAACCTCGATCTGAGTGAGTCATTCTGTGGAGTGGCTTAGTTCTTCGCGTGGCTTGGACAGCTAGACGAACCACTTGGCATGCCTACAGACAAATGTCAATTACAATACACACAAACCTCAGGACATGCGTTTGCAGCCTACCCTTTGCACAGTTGCAAATCATGAAAGCTTATCGTCACAAATAACTCTGTGCACATCAGACGACAGGGCGCGCCAACGTCTTGCCATTCTCAACTTGGTTTATCTCATCCTTTTAGTTGGATTAATGGGCGTTTCGAGGTTCGGGTAACGCGACTATTAAGAACTTGTCCCAACGTCTTCCATTCTCAACTTGGTTTATCTCATCCTTTTAGTTGGATTAATGGGCGTTTCGAGGTTCGGGTAACGCGACTATTAAGAAATTGGAGGATTAT